GGGGGGGTACGAGGGTGTTGAGGGGCGGTATGGAGGTGTTGGTGGGGTTATCGGGGGTCCTGAACCCCTACCAAAAATATATATATTTTTTGTCAGGTGCCGATCGACCGTCGAACGGTCAGTGCCGACCAGTGGAATGCTCGGCTAGTCGGCCCCCGACCAATCCAGGGGCAGCGACCGTTGGCATGACTACTCTGCTGGCAACAGCATTTTTCTGTTGTGTAACGTCAACCTCCTTTCTCAGTTGATGATGGAAGAATTCCAACATTCAGTCATGGACTCAGCAAAGCATCAGAAAGGCGAAAGCAAGAGGAGGCGGCAAGACAAAGAAGGATTGAAGAGGAACGAAGTTTACTCATAATCAGAAGAACAATATCAATCCCCTCCATTGTCTCCCTCTTTCTTCCAACCATGCTGTGGCTCTCATTCGCACCACAATGACAGTGCTCATCAACACCATCATGGTTTGGATGACCACATCGTCACCATGGAGAGGACTCACATTATCATGCTTTCTTTGTGGAGTTGTGTATAGCGAACATGACAACACGCAACAGCTAAACACCCTTACTTAGGATCAGCCCTCGTTGTCGCCTGGCCATAGAGAAGAAATAATGTCTGTGGAAATCCAAGAAACTTGCTCATTGCCGCTCTGTGATGGCCCATCCGAGATACGGCTAGCACGTGATTCGCGCATGCTTTGCGTCGTGAGGATTACGAAAGCATAGCGCTTGCAAGTATTTGCTTTGATACGTATGGTGACAGTCAACATTGCACTCATGTACGGCACCCTGACACGTCGTGTCCAATTGTTGGACAGGGTCTGGAACGGCAATACCTGTACGATTGCGGTCGGCATGCCTCTGTGTTGCTAACGTGTAGGAGCCATGTTAGCCTGTGACATCTGTCTACGCCGTGCCATTCGTTGTAGCACTTGCAACTGCAAGAATTGGATGCTGTGCTTCCACAGCCACACCTAAACTGGTCCTGTCCAGTCTGTAGGGGTGGGCACTTACCATAGGCAACAGTAGCTCCTCAGCTTAGAGTCTCCTGCAACCCAAACACAGACTGGCCTCTTGTGCTACCGTCTTCACCCGAATAGAACGCCCGGTCATTATCACTGTATATAGACAAGTTGCACCAAATACAGCTATAATGACCGGGTGTTCTATTCGGGTGAAGATGGTAGTCTAGAGTAGTCTGCTTCAGCGGTGAGTATTGAGAACCCTGTGAAGCTCTTTTCTCTGTCCTGTTCTTTGCCCCTCCACTTCCCTCCTCTACCCCTTCTCCGTCCCCCGCCCCTCGCTTCCTACAGATCTCCAACCCCCACCCCTTTCCTTCCTCCCCCCTCTTGTGTGTTACTAGTAAATGCATAAGAACGAGCGTCATTAAGAGAACAGACAAAATATAAGCTGAAGATGTGAAGAAAAAATGAAAAGGAGTATACCTCCCCGTTTACTCTGCTGGCTCCTTTCATAATGTGCAAGTGGTCTGTTAATGCACACGGGGATGTGGGCCGCTGGTGGTGAACTGCAATCAACGTGCCCAGCAGAGGCACAGTAAAAAGGGAGCTGCAATAACAAATAAAAGGGGTACCCTGAGGAAAGCCAAAGTAACGAAAAGGGATATAAAATCATACAACAGATCTATTCTGCTCCATGTTGCTTGCTATAGAGGTAAAACTCTTTCGTTGTTGGAATGACTCATCTGATGTGTGCTTCATAGGGGGTTGTCTTGTGCGCATTATCAGGCGGGCGGAGTGAAAGATGTTTCAAATTCTTTCAATTTCTTAGACTTCCTTTGCTTTGCTTTGCTTTGGTTTGGATTCTTTGGAATGTTTGCATTTCCCACTCTGAATTAAACAGGTGTGCGCTCGCTGAGTCCCTTGCGATTTGGAATTGATCTGTGTTCTCCAGGATTGGCCACGGTTCTTTTCCATGCTCCGCAGTTTTGCGATCACATGTGTCCCTGCAGCACTAGTGAACAGCGGTTTGAAGTATTTCCAGGTACGTTGCTGCTTTCCTTCTCTTCTGGTACTTCTAGGACCATGAAGGCCAGAAGCTTTTACCATGAGTCGCGTCCCATGGTAAACCACTCTTCTGCTTTTCTTACCAGGAAGATGACCAGAAGCATGGTAATTTTACCATGAGTTCATTGAGTTGCCTTTCATGGTAAACCACTCTTCTGCTTTTCTTACCAGGAAGATGACCAGAAGCTTTTACCATGAGTTGCATTTCATGGTAAACCACTCTTCTGCTTTTCTTACCAGGAAGAAGACCAGAAGCTTTTACCATGAGTTGCCTCAAAGCTGCAGACTGCAGTTAGAGAACTTTCTTAAGTTTCTTTAGCATGATTTGCCTCAGCCCATCTTTGGCACCTGATAATTTTATAAGCGAAAGAAATCCTTCTTTCTTTTTCTCTGTGTTTATCTAGTTCGATGAAAAAATTGGAAAATTTGGATTCAAAATTTCACAGTCTGCAAAGATAATTCAGTTCATAACTTCATATCTTCAGTGTTGAAGTGTGTAAACAAAAAGGGGGTTAAAAAAAGCATTGAACTTGATTGAAGTGTGTTGGCAAATTAGATGTCAGGTGACGTGTGATAGATAATGTAAGTTCCTGGAATCTTCTTAGAATCTTCTTAGAATGATCTTAGAACCTATTTATGAACGCCGCTTTTCCACTTATTCACATGGCTTCAGACCTGCAATTCATTTTCATGTTTTTTTTTTTTTCTTTCTTCGGGGGGGGGGGGGAAGGGGGGTAATTTTCCCGCTCATGGAAATGTCTGAGCTGGCACAGTCTATCTTCTTAATATATGGTTTGTCGACGTTGTCTCCATTTTCGCTGTCTTGTTTGCCGCCTCTTTTCCTGCTGCTTTCTTCTTTCCCTTACACTCATCTGACGGGCCTTTTTTTCATTTTTCCGTTGTCTTCCTTGCTGCTTCATTTCTGTTGTCTTGCTTGCGCTTCTTGTGATCATGTGCCTTAATTTTTTTTTTCCCCATTACGTTTCTTGCATTTCTCTGACAATCAGGGCAAACTCAAACTCTAGGACCTTTTAGAATGTATCTTACTGCAATTACTGCCAGGGCTTGATGCATCTGACCTCAGTCACGTCTAGAGACTTGGTAAAAAAAAAGTCCTACAGTCTTCCCCCGAACATAACGCATGTGTTGTAAACGAATACAATGCATAGATTGCTTTCTATTTGAATGCAACGCACATGCATTCTATTCGAACAGTCCTGATATTGGAGAACAACACACTTGTGTTCTATTCGAATCATTGATTTGCTTGGCAAACTCGAATACAACGAATATAAGTTATGTTCGTTCGGGGGAAGACGGTAGTGTGAGTATGCTCTCATTTGATATGCCACATCCTTTGCCTGGGTATTGTTCTGCTCCGTGTTTGTCTTCTCTGCCGCTTCCCCTGATGTCTTGCTTGCTGTTGTCCTTTTTCCTTTACTTCCATCATCCGTCTTGTTGTATTGCTCATTGTCCTCGTCATATTCATTGCTGTCTTCATGTTTATCGTCGTCGTTACGACTGCTGCAAATTTTCTTTCTGCTCTGCATGCTTCTTCCTTTGATGGTCTCTCTCATTATTGTCTCTGCATGTTCTCTCACGCTGTGCATATGCCTGTTGCACTCTCCTTCGTCAACACCAACCTCATTTCCTCTATCTGCCTTATCTCCTTTTCCTATTGGTTGGCACAATGCATCCGGTCAGTTGAACCCACGCATATCCAATCCTACTTTCATGTGCTATTTTAGTATTTTCATATTTTCTGATTTTTTTGGTTGCACCCACGCATGTCCGATCCTCTACGTTCATATCGTTCTTCAACTTTCTGTTTTTCTTTTTTTTTTTGTTTTGTTTTGCCAATGGCCACTGCTGGAGCTGCTGTCGGGATGACCTGGTATGTGAACATTTCTTGTTTGTTTCTTTGATTTCACTCTCTTTCTTCCTCCTGCCACTCTTCTGCTCAACATTCACCCTCTCTCCGCCTCCCTTCCCTCCACCCCCCCCGGCCCCCTCCTCCTCTATCCTCCCCACATCGTTTCTATCATGACCACCGGGCTTGTTTCCTCGTCTCTCTTTGACACAGACCATTCATTTCGTCAACTCTCCGACAGACCATTTGGACACAGACCATTTGGTTTCTCTCATTGCTCGGTTCCCAGCTCCGTGTATGCTGTGCTTGAGTGAAAGTTATGTTGTTCCAAAGAATCAGTGAAGATTTTGGAGTGCGATGGCTGTGGTGGGTGTGTCCTTACTAATTCTGGAATGCCTATGTTGGTGGCGAAAAAGTGAAAGGATGAAGTTCTTGGCTGGTTGTTGTGCAGACCATCATCAGTCTTGCGTTTAGGCAGAGGCTTACCGAGCATCTTCATCAGCGATATTTGGCGAATCGAGTTTACTACGTAGCGTCTACATTAGGAGGGTTGTCTAATGCAGATCAGGTGTGCTTATAACTTCACCCTTGATATAATAATATCCGTCCTTGTCTCTCCTTTCTTTCCCCATACTCGCACTGTCTTCCGTCTCTCATTCCTCCCTCACCTCTCTGTCTCCCCTTTTCACCCCCCTCCTCAAACGCAGAAAAAGTTACAAATTGTGTCACACGCACCTGCCTGTTATTGGGTCCTCTCGGCACACTTTTGCTGCCGCTACCCTCGTCTTCTGTGCTTCTGTGATGGGCTTCAAGATGCTCCTGAGAATCAGAAATAACCCACCTGCTTTCTTCGTGTCACATTCGCCCGCCTGTGTTTCATCTTCTGTGTTGCTGTGATGGGCTTCAAGATGCACAGATTCTCGGAAGGGGAAAGGTCGGATGCAAAAATATTTTGGCCAAACCACCAGCTTTCCCCTGGTGCTTTGAAATTCGGGCGACTGGTATGGCCAGGAAGCGGAATTTTTTTGTGCGTACCGATAGCAGTGGAGAGCAAAAAGATGGAAAGCAATGAAACCAACTGCAAATGCTCGCCGCCGCCAGAATTTGTTTTTCGATCTTTGAATTGTTTTTTGGTGTTTAGAAGATTTTTGCCGAGAAGATCAGCAGCAAATCAACATGTCTGTGTTTTTTCAGAATCATTGTCGCACACACAATTCTTGGCACGAAAAATCGTCAGAGTCGGTACGCTCAAGTTTTCGGCGCATTCCGTGCATCGCCGCCGACGTGCACCCCCTGTGTGCGGTAGGCCCCCTCCCCCTCTTTCCCTTCCCTGGGATTGTGGTGGACCTCAAGACTCAGTGGAATGCCAATTCATTGCGTCAGGACCGGTGGTTTCACGACCAGTTACAAACTTCGAGAACTAGACATTTTGTTTCTTCGTCGTCTTTTGCTTTAAGAGAGAGGTCGCGTTGCTGCCTTCTTTTGCGCTTCAACAAGCCTATTTGTCCTGCCTCTTTCTTCATGTTGTTTGCTGCTGAACTGGGTTTCAAGATGCACAGCTTCCTAAAGGGGAACAGTGTAATGTGAAACCATGGTTAATGATGAGTTTCAAGTTTGAACTTGGAACTTAGGATTCAAATTTGAAGAAGAAGATCCTTCTCTTTTATCTTTTGCTTGTTTAGACTAAGTTTATTTCACCTCCTTTTTTGGCTTCAACAGTCTGTTTGTCCTCCTCCTCCTCCTCCTCTCCTCCTTGTCGACAGGTAAGATAGAAAAGACCTTTGTCAACACAGTCTGCATAGTATGGACCATGCACACCAGAACCATCCAGACGCTGGACAACAGACTGTCTGGTCCACATGTGGATGTCTGGATCTGATCCAGACAATCGGACCCATGAAAAACATATGTTACGATCCTGGCTACTTCCGAAGTGCAAATTCACAAGGAAAGACAATGCCATCCAATTGCAAAGAAATGAGAGCACTTGCAACTTGCAAGCGATAGAGACCAAAGAAGAAGGAAGGAAGAAGAAAGAAAAAGAAGAAGGAGAAGGAGAAGATGATGTACGCCAGCAAGACCAACGACAAATCCCCCTTTCTCACTCCACTCTCCTCCTCCTCCTTGTCTCCGCCAATCTTATTCCTCTTCAAATAATAATAATAACAATGAGTGTTGGAACCAGAATCAATATCCAAAGTCCCCTCTTACTGCCAGCCCGACAAGAGGTCCACCATAGAAAGGGTTTCCCTCTTCTTCTTCCTCACACAGGCCTAGGCTATGGCGGACTACTAAGGGCTCTGCCCTCCTGTGCAAAAGACAACGCAAAGCAGCTATGACCGCTGCTCTTCAGGCCGCCATGCCTGACTCTGCTGCGAAGCTTCCTTGGTGCAGCACTATCTCAACTGGGGCCTTCAAGATGCAGCACCTACCGAGGTGATGAAGATGGTATCCACCATAGCCCGGTAGGTACCTCGCCACTCTCCTCCTTCGCCCCCTTCTTCCTCCTCCTCAGGCTGAGCGCCCAACTCTCCTCCTTCCTCTCAGGCAGCGCTCTGAGATCCATTGCCCGCTCAAGCAGCATGATGCCCAAACTTGCATACTGCAAATGAGGTAGAGCCCAGCGCTCTACCTGGAGATATAGCGGCCTACTTGCCTCTTGGGCCTTGACTTCCAAGCCGTGCGGCCTCCAAGCGACCGGTACCTCTGAACTTTTGGAGGGAAACATCATTGCAGGCTCTGATATTGTCCGCACAGACCCTAGACTCAGGCTGCTTGGACTGGTACCCGCTTACCTCTCAGGCTGCTTGGACTGGTACCCGCCTACCTCTAGACTACAGCTACTGGGCCTCTATAAATGCCAACTTTTTGTCGTCTTCTGCTCGGCCTTCAGTTCCCGACACATCTACCGCCGTTTGAGTGGTACCGGTCTACCTGCTACTTGTGTTTTCCCCCCGCTGCACTAAGTGTCGCGGGCCTACTCCCCGCTACTTGAGTGTTTTCCCTGCTGCCGCCCTCAAAGTCACAGCCACAGGTAAGTACCGGCGCCGCGGGCCTCACAACACACAAGTGCCCTGTTGGGCCACACACACACTCAGGCAGCACATGGACCAGCAAGCACGCACACACACACACACACTTAGGAAACTCAGCACAACGCGGGAATCTCAGCAAAGCATACATTCCAGTGGCAAATCCCAGAAATCGGCAGTGTTCCCAGTCTGTGTTTTGGCGGGTCATTACAAAATTACAAATATTGAAATATATGTATTTACACTGTTTTTTCTTTTCTTTTTTCTTTCTTTTATAAATTTCCTTTGAACATTTCTTTCTTGAAGCCGAAGACCAACCAATATTTTTTCCCGGAATTTTTGAAGTTTTACAAAATGTTTCCCCCGGCAGGGCGTCACCCTACAGGGGGTCTGCTGCATGCGGTACCTGGGCGTGTGAAAAAGGGCTCCTCCTTTGTTCAGTGTTGTCTGTCAAGGGGGGCGAAGGGGGGTATAAATGGGATTAAATCATTAAACAGGCTTAGAGGGTCCGAAATCTTTTAATATGCCCTGTCTGGCCTGTGGTGAAATTTGAAATCTGGACCCCGCCTCAGACACTGGGCCTGGACGCTGTTTTACCGGGTTGACTCTTCCTATCTCTGGGCAACTTTGTGGAATGCCTAGGCCCGAGGCATGGCTTTGCAGCACAACACTTCCCCTTGCCTTCATCCTTCCTAATCTCCTCCCTGTACTGCAACACATCAGTCTTCCTTTATTCCACAATTTCGTCCGAGTTTGTCTCACCAGGGCGGCGGCGGGGAGAGAGAGAGAGAGAGAGAGAGAGAGAGAGAGAGAGAGAGAAGGCTTCCAGCAGCGTGTAGGGGGTATGGGAGTTCTCGGTGGGAGATGAGTTGTTTGAGAAAAGGACAAAGAATTATCCAAAGGGGGTAGCAAACAGGTCTCAGATGGTTAACTCAACGTGTTTGCTTTTGTGACATACCCGGTGGGGAGATGAGTTGTTTGAGAAAAGGACAAAGAATTATCCAAAGGGGGTAGCAAACAGGTCTCAGATGGTTGACTCAACGTGTTTGCTTTTGTGACTTATGTCATCTTCCAGCGCATCACGGAGGATGTGGAGAAGTTTTCATTTGCAGTAAGCGAATTGTTCTCGTACACGTTCAAGCCGGTGCTCGATATCGTACTCTTCACAAGATCATTGTCAAAAACAATAGGGTAAGGAATCGACTATCTAGGGATTGGACCGAGTTTGTTGCTTTCCTTCTTTTTTTAAATTTTTTCCTGAAAAATCTGTCCATGCTTTTTGTTGCTTCTTTTTTCTCTAAGAGAAATCACTCCACCTGACCCAGCTCGTCAAACACAAGCTCTGGAAATAAAATGGATCATACACTACAGGACAACCTGCAATGGGTGCCGTTGGCCCTCAACCACATCAGAGAACTGGCACCCTTTCAGTCCCCTCTGAACATGGCAGGCCTCTACTGGGTCTTCAATTCACACTGGTCCCCCACCAAAGAAATTAGAAACAGGAACCACCGACAGGGTGCAGGGGACAGAGGAAATGCAAACAACAACAAATCCTTTTGGAAACAGCTCATAATGCAATGGAGAAAGATTTTTCCAAAAAACAAAGTAGGCCCCAAAAGAAGAGACGAAGTCCTCAGACAACCAATTTTCAGCAACCCCTGGATCTTAGACGAGAACGGCCGCAGCATCCAACTCACCAAAGATAACACTAAATGGGGCAACTGGCTAGAAAAGGGGGTGTGGCAGATTCAACATCTGTGGAACGAGGATACTAAGGACAATCTTGAAAGGGAGCCACAACCTACAAACCAACATTACCACGATCATCAAAAGTATCCCTGTGGATTGGAGACTACTACTGAAATCATCCCAGAAATGGCTTTGGGGTGACTGGGCAGCACAAAAGGGACAAACAATAACCCAGGAGGTCCTCAAAATAATCAGCTATGAGCAATTCAACAAAGAGTGGATTATATGCTCCATCTTTGCTCTAGAAGAACCGGGCAACCCAGCCAGTTTCCTCAACAGGGAAAGCAGAGCAGAAGGAGCTTTTAAGGTTAGTACCCTCAGAAGACTCAGAGTAATCGAAGGCGACAGAAACAGGGTCTACAAGCCAGAAACAGAACTACGCTATCTGGAAATCGACCCGACCGAGTGGTCCTGGAGTACATCAAACCCCCAATCACTCGTTGAACATCGCCACTTGCTAACCGACTACACCCCTAAACTGGGTTACAGGCTGTTCTCAAAACCAACCTCGGTACCAACCTTGCTACAGAGAAGATGGGAAAAAGAAGAAACCTTGGTTCTGATACCCATCATCAAACCATACTGGTCCTCGATCTTCTGCACAAAACCAACCAAGCTAGCAAGCCTACTATGGCTCATAACCTTTAGGGCAGTCCCTGTCAACCTATGGCTATCACAAAGAAGAAGAAAAGAAGAGAGATCAGAACAAGCAACATGGTGCAGGGTATGTAATTCACATACGGGCAAATCCCTTAAGCATTGTTTTATAGACTGCGTAAAAGCCAAACAGCTATGGCACGACGTAGAAACGACTTGGAACAAACATTCCAACAGTAAGATAGTAATTAACCCCGCTACCCTTTTCCTAGACAAGGAACAACCCCCCCCTCTTAAAGGATTTGAACTCTTCCTTTTCTCGTAAATTAGAAACAGAGATACAGGCCATATGGAACGAAACAAAAAAACAGTTTCAGGACACACCGGATAAAAGAATAGAAATCATCAGGAAATTCACGACCACAAGTCTAGGCTACGGAAAACTACGCTCAATCGACGGAGATAGACTGGTCCTCAAGGATTGGCTAGTCATACCAACACAAAGCGATCATGAGCCGCCCACCTCCCTAAGGACTACTTCAACCCCTCCGCCAGTTGACTCCAACACATTGACCGAAGATGCAGCAGATTAGAGGATCCGAGCCCGAAGAGCAAATCTAAAGCCAAAACCACAACAAGATTAAGATGACATGATAGGCCCCGTACCAAGGCACCTCCCAGCACAGGACCTTCCCCCAACAAATCCATCACCCCCTCCTCGTCGGGAACATCCAGACATCAGCAGCCCCATTATGTCCTGAATAACCAATTAAATTCTGGACACCTATTAAAATGCAACCTCCCACTATAATACCACATTTTGACCCACACCTGGTCTTCACAAACACGGATATACCCACATCAGACGCCATCCAATCCCCCTGAAAAGTCTCCCCATCCCCAGTCCCAAACTAGCACGGTGAGTCCACTAAAACCCTTAACCCTAAATAATTGAAACATACCCTCCCACTCTGATCCAATACCGTAATGGCAAATCCCATCAAAATACCTTCTCACCAACCCCTTTACATCCACACACACTCCCTATTCCTAACTAACAGGATGGACAGCCTACTCGACAGTCTTGAACAGAGCTAGTTTCACTCCACAACCACCCAAGGAGCTACAGTAACAAGATCTTTTACCAAGTTAAACAGGCAAGGAAGCAAGGGTACAAGGCCTAGGATATTAGGGCTAAAAGACTAGTATAGGACACAGAGGGATATCAAACTAGCGAATCCAGCATTTCAGGTCATACAGATAGCCAACTAGATGAGAAGAATCCTATAGAGACAGCCTCCACAGGTAGGTTTCTATCAGTAAAACAGCTGAGAAGTAGGACGGAGCAAAACCATTCGCGACAAAAATAAGCAACAGTCTAGAAAAGGCTAACGTAGGCAGGGGTGAACATCTTCATGGAAGTAATCAATGCCATCTTCAGGGCCTCCACGCCGTAAGGGGAAGGAGCATGAGTGGGTAAAGTTTTGAACTATTTTGACTTGCCGGGGGAATAGGAACCGGACTGTTGCTCCCCAGAATGGACAGGGAGCCAGAACCTTACGGTTCTTTGTTTTCCCAAAAAAAAAAAAAAAAAAAAAAAGAAATCACTCCACCAATTAAGAATGGCCATCATGGACCACCATCCATGGAATCAAGAAAGACCTTTCAGCAATCCTCAAAAGTTGTTTGGTGAAAAAAAACAGAAGCATATTCGGAAGTCTGAAGTACCAATTGGCCTAGCTCAGTTGGCACACCCCTGAGCTGTTGAAATACACCCCTGAGCTGTTGAAATAAACCCCTCAGGAGTTCGAATCCCACTGGAAACAGATAAGTTAAATACTAGAAAAGCATAATGGGAAGCAACAAAAGAAGGGGGCAAAAGAAACAGCAGAAGGAAAAGAAAGGCTTTCTCCGTCAGTTTGTGTGAACTGTAGGCGTTGCCGGCTTTAGCAGCAAGTTGGTAACCAACAGAGTTTCTGAGGCAAAGAACAGTTCCTGACGGCACAGCTTCCCGCTTAGCTGTGCGCCTGTGTATGTTGGGACATTGAGGGGATAATGTAGTCTGTGTTGATGTCTGCATTGCTGTGTCTGTTTGCTAACATTGTGGGGACTGAACTTTTATTCAATTCTCAATGCGTAGAGGCTACGCACCTTTTTGCTTCAGTATGTTGGACCACCAGCATGAGCCCCCTCCCTCCGAAACTTTCTGCTGTAAACAAGCAGGCAATGCTTTTGCACTGTTCGATTCATGCATGCGGTGTGATGCACCGTACTGGCGCGAAAACGTATGTTCTGCAATTCAGGGTGCACCGTTCTTCAGAAGGTGGTCTGATGGTTGACCAAGTGCATGCGTTGTTGCGTGGTGGGGGGGGGGGGGGGGGGGAGAGGAGGGATGCATGTGTGTGCATGTATGCGTGTGCCTGTGCGTGGACGTTAATGTGGTATCGGATGGCTGAATAGCAACATTGCGTAGGCTGGGCTGGGATGGGCTTGATGAAAACATGGTCCAGTAATACAAAAACATAAGACCCTGGGTTCACGGGCATGGGAGCCGGGTAAAGAGACACGGGACCCTGGCGTTCGTGGTGGAGGAGGAAGTGACGAGGAGGAGAGATGGAGGAGGACGCAATGAGAAGGCGGCGAGTTTCCAACTTTCCATACTATACGACGCCGTGACGAGGAGGAGAAGAGCTGAACGAGGAGAAGGGGAGAGGAGGAGGAGGAGGAAGATGTGGAGGAGGAGGAGGAGGAGGAGGTGAGTTCGAGGGAGGGAGGGCAGGAGGTATGGTGAAGACTCACCTTCGAGGATGATCGAAGTCGGAGATGGTCGCTCCGGAGCTCGGATGGTGCGAATGCAGGGTGAGGCGGCGCTGCTCGTAGAGGGCGACTGACGGCACTGCTTCCTCAAACTGGACTCGAGGCAAAAAGCTGCCCCCCAAAGCCCTTACAGTTTCGATCTACGAGGATGAAGAAACGCCCCCCCAAAGCCCTTCCAGTTTCGACCTACAACCAAAAACGACATTCAAATTCGTTTCCATCGCGGCCAGCTAATTTTTTTTGTGGGCCCCAACACCATTTTTGATGGGGGTAGCGACACAAGGACGAATCGGCACCCGTGTTTTCGGTTTGGGCTGGGCTCTCTTGCGCCGTGCAGTCGGGGTTTGCTTGAGCGCCAACAGTCCACGAATCAGCGGACGACGTGCGCTTGCATGTATGGTAATAGTTGACTATGGTTCTGGTGGGACTTTGACCCAGTCCCAGACAGAGCTATCAGCATGTGACTATGAATTGGAATTGGCTAGAGGACGATGAGCGGAAAATTCTGAAAAACTGTCAGAATAACTAGAAAAAGCCTCAAAAAGGTTCTTTCTGGACGCGAGTATTGTACTACCGTCGTCACCCGAATAGACCACCCGGTCATTATAGCTGTATTTGGCACAACTTTCGGTCCAGATGCAGTGATAATGACCGGGCGTTCTATTCGGGTGAAGACGGTAGGTTAGTTTTCCATACGCCTGGGCCTGGCTGCCTGGACGGGTTCGTTGCCAGCCCTGGTGCAAAAAAATAAAATAAAAAAAATCAAAAGACTTCTGGAAAAAAGATGTTGTGTAGAACTGTGTAATCATTGTAATGCGAAGAACTTTTGGCTGAGGATCACCTCAGAATTCCTTATTGAATCGAAGATAAGAAGCAAAACCCAAAAATCAAACTCAAGCACCCCCGTTTAAACCTCTCTAACCCCCTTTAAGCCCAATTTCTACACCTCTTCCCCCGCTGCGTTTGTTTCCACGGGCAACAGTGAAAACCAAAACAGCCCGGATTGGGGCTGCTTTCAGTGGGAG